TGACATTATTATTATTCAATTTGATAGACAAAGCAATTCTAATACATATGCCTTCAGTAAATTATTAGATCTATAAACTAATATACATTCAAAATAATAACAAAACTGACCTCGATACCAATGCCAGCTTCAAGGTCTAGAAAGAAATCAACTAGTGATCTGACAAGTTTTGCAGCTTTAGCCTTGCTTATGAGACTCAAAAACGGTCTCGTCGCCTTTATGAGCTCGGCCAACTCTTTGGCCTTGCCTTCCTTCTTATAAAGCTCACCAAGTTGGAGTATACCCTGTTCCTTTACACGAATACTATCTTCGTCATCCTCCGCAACGCCGATATTTGGATCCGAGACGATTTCATTGAGAAGATTTATCCCTTCGCTGCGATTCGTTATTGATACTGCCTGTGCTCGTTCGAACAGCATTGCGCCGGCCATTTCACCCTGAAATTTGCCCAGTCACTCTACTAAATGCTTGAGCAATTAAGTGTCTTTGCACGATAGGTCTACAAAAATTCCTATTCAAATTTAATAATCCACTTATCTTATCCGTTTAAATTGTAATATTATGCATATGCGATCGTCGAACGTGAAAATTAGCAATTTAAAAAGACTTAATGATATTCTAACCTCTAAATACGACTCTTAATCACAAATGTTAAAGATCCAATTTGTTCAATGCTGATAATTGCTCTAGTATTTTGCAATTTTATCGTAATTGTTTTATTAAAAATAATTGCCTTTGACAAAATCGCAATGCTTATGGAATTAAAAAAATCTATTATGTTACGCGAAACTATCTCGACGATTTTCATCTATCCTTATTGCTCCCGTAAATTACAAATAATGAAACAAGCGGTACGTACCTTGAATTCCTTATTTGATATTTTCTCTGCCCGTCTCGCTTTCTCTCTCTCTCTCTCTCTCTCTCTCTCTCTCTCTCTCTCTCTTTGCATCTAACGATGTTTGTTCTCAATATATTTGTAGTTCCTTATTGGGATCAATGAAAATTTTAGAATTTTTTCTTTCTTATCTATCTATATATATATATATATATATCTTAAAAAGTGTTAGAGACATTAAATGGAAAGAAATTGTGAGGTTAGAGTTAGATGTTTTATAAATCTAATATCGACGAATACGTAGAGTGTCTATGTATAATACCTACACACCTGTCGATATCCTACACGAATCCCGTTTTTTCAATCTCTTCTAAATTTTTACTGTAAAGTAAAACTTATGTCGTGAGCTCATACCAGCGAATGTATCGTATTCACAGACCAGCAGCCTGATGTAGTGAATTTATAAAATATATCGAATACTTGAAAAGTGAGAAGTAACAATTCGACTTTAACACTATAATTGATTCGAGAAAAATTGCGAAAATTCAGATATTAATAGTACTCATGAAGCGTATAACGAGTCGCGATTAATTCAGGGATACCAACATTTTTCCATCCTTGCCCATTAATATGTTGCCTTTTCCTTTGGCTAAGTTTTTATTTAAAGTTTTATTCAATGTGTACGAAATGTCGGTTATCATTTATATTACGTAAGAAATTTTGTAATTTAGAAATAGCAGGCAACAAAAACTTAATAAATTTTGAATTTTATCCCAAATTTTTAAGTATCTCGTTCGAGATATATCGAAATGATAGCGAGAAGATCGTGATCTTAAATTCAAACTGATGGGGAACATTTAAAAATAAAAAGGCTCCCGATTAAAGGAAGAAAAAGGCAGACGTTTTATTTCGCGCGTATGCACACACCACTCAACGTATATGCGGATGTCCACATGATTTCTATAAACACGCGCGCGCACGCACATATATATTTAAATTCAAATATCGCCAGAGTATATACCTATCGTACCATAAATAAAATAATTTTGATCAATTTATGAATGAATGAAAAATTGTAATAATAATAATTATTATTTAACAATTAAAATAAACAAGAATTTTATGAACAAAAATATTGTTAATACCTAATGAATCTAACAATGCATAAGTATACATTATGAAATTTTGATTTAAGCATGGCAAGATTATGTATTTTAAACTGAATAAGAAGTAAAATTTTTGTATTGTTTTAAATTATTCGATAAATTATTTAAATTTTAAATACATTAAGAAATTATCTAAATGATCTTTTTATTAAATTAAACAATATTAATAATTCTGTTATATAATTAATTAATAATTTAGTTTTATCGTTTAAGGAGTTTAGTATTGAAAAAGAATTTATTGTTAAAAAGTGAAATGCCATAAGGTTTTCTTTTCCTAATAAATTTTTATTATTAATTCTGTTTGATTTCAATTTTTAACATTTCTCTGAACATTTATGTATTACGAATATCGATATGCGATTATCGTAATACGCATGTATTACGTTAGATTATTTTAATAGGATCTATTGTAAATCATTGAAATTTACATAAAAGTTAAAAATGTGTATGTCATATGCCTATTTAAGTAAATAATTCCAACTATTTCCAAGCGTATTATCCCAATTTATTATAATATTAACATATTTAGAATAAAAAAAAAAAACTAACAAGTACTTTTACATAGATTTATACCTTATGAAGGTAATTGCATTTTTCACTAAATCGAAATATCAATAAATATTAAAATTTGAATAAAAAGATGATTAAAATTTAGAAAGGAATTGTATATTTTGTCAATTTTCTGTTCACTTAATACATAATAAATGTACATTAAATGCAAATTGAAAAAATGGATTCTCTTAGTTTTTGGTCTTAAACTCATTGAATTTTAATGATAATAATAATTTTTTAATTTAAACTTGCTTATATTCTGATATTTTGATAGCACTAGTATTAAAAATAACAATTTTAACGATACTAAGTTGTTATTTTTTGCTTTATGGAATAGAAATTAAATTAAATTGTATTTCACATAGATTTGTACACTGAACCGTGTTAACGATAATCATTTTTATTCAATAGAAATAATATTTTAAAACTTTAAAAAGTTTTCTTAAAATTCTTTTTCTAGAAAAAACGTATATTGTATATCATTGAAAAATCATTAAAATTAGAATTAAAGTATAATGTTATCGATAATTTACGATATTAATTTGAGTTCAACAAGAGCCTTTAGAAAAGTCTATTGATTCGATCTTTTTGATAAAAAATTACCAATATTTTCTTTGCTAGAAAAGAAAGAAGGTAAAGGTATGAGAATTTAAACGATATAAATTATAAATAGCACTTTGCTTTGATTTATACATTTATATAATAATAATAACAATAACAATAACAATAACAATAACAATAATAATAACAATAACAACAACAATAACAATAACAACAACAACAACAACAACAATAATAATAATAATAATAATATGCAAAAGGAATAATCGATGTGTTAATTTTCATTTAAAAATTTAATTAATTTAACGGATATTCAATTAAAATAGATTTATTTTAAAAATGTCATTATTATCTACTTAATTTATAAAATAATAGCTTACATATACAATCGCAAGACGAATATTACATAAATTTGATCAATATGAAGTATAGATTGAATTGATTATTATTTTATTTTAAAATTTCAAAATATTATATTTGATTAATAGCAGAATTTTTTAATGTAAATGTTTGGCGCTATTGTGCAAATTTCACATAGAGACTAATGGGTAATGGGTAATGGAGACTGACTAATTTGACAAAACTATTCATTTGCATTTTGTTTTAAAATGCATTTTATTTATTTATTTATGTATTTATTTTGTTTTGATATCAATTTGTTTGAAATCAGAAAGAAAAATGAGGAAGAAGAAATAAAAACTGAAAAATATCAAATCCAATGATACTCATTATAACGTTTAAAATATTAATGAAGTTTATTTAATGTATAATTAATAATTACATACATTGAAATACATTTTATAATATGTGTAATTTCTTTTTGGCTATGGTAAGTTATTATTGCGTTTAATTCATTAATGGCTATATGGCATTAACAATACAGACATCTAACGAAATTATTAAATCGAGCAGTTAAATATTGACAGCATCAGTTTTGCCACTCGATTTTCTCGTTCGTACCTCTTTCCCCGAGCTATAACACGATATCTCTCACAACGACTATGGAAAATTGTATTTGACGTAATGGTAAACTCGGCAATGCACTCGAGCCCGCGCGTTATGCGTTATATAGTGGTAGTGGTAGTAGTGTGGTAGCAGTAGTAGTAGTGTAGTAGCAGTAGCAGTAGCAGTAGCAGTAGCAATTGAAGTAGTAGTAGTGGTAGTAGTAGTAGTAGTAGTAGTAGTAGTAGTAGTAGTAGTAGTAGTAGTAGTTGGGCTCGTAGGGGGATAGATCGACGTCACTGATGCAACATGCCAATTTCGTGCTGCTCGTCCGTCCGTAGCTCGATTCCACGTTAAAGAGCTTCGGGATTGGCCGTAAGCGAACAATCGACCAATCCACGTCTATGATCTACTAGACTAGAGTCGAAAGATACACGGCATTAAGCGCGCTCGTGTTTATGAAAACGCTGTCACGGAAAGTTGTCGCGAGGGGTACTTTCGAGTCGACGTAACATTAAGTTTTCCACGTTGTATTTCTTTAGCCGCGCATAGATATTGTATGCACACATGTGTTGTGTACTGGACGCGATGTTACTCGTTCGCGAGATATTGTATTACTCGTGTGTGGCTTTTTCCACGTACGTACGTGTGTAAAACGAGCCCAGGCAAGTACACTTTCTCGCTTCCCTTTCTCCGCTCGTCACTCGCTCTCTCTCTCTCTCCCACTCACATCTGACTCGCTCACTCATCTGCTACACGTCGAACGAGAGCTTAGTAGAGAGCAGTGGTGAGTGACTAGTGGCTCGGATAAAGAGAGAGAGAGAGAGAGAGAGAGAGAGAGAAGGAGAGGGAGATCTTAAGTTGTGGCGAGAGGAAAGGCCTCGAGGAGGCCAGGCGTACGTCGCCGAAAATTTTGAAGAAATGGTGGCGGCGGCGGCGGCGGTGGCGGCGGCGGTGGCGGCGACAGAAGAGGAGCAGCAGAGGCTCGAGAGTATGTGCCCCGACTTCATTGGGTCGACAGTGGGCGCGTGAGGTGGAGGCGACGTCGCAGCGAGGGGATCCAGCGGCCGACGTCAGCTCCCTGGCGCTCCAGGAGGGATTTCGGGATCGCGGGCGCGCGCGCGCGTTCCCATGGCTGCACGACGGCTTTGACGCGAAGATTGTGTGGCCAGCTAAGGGCGAGTGGAAGGACCAACGCTGGGATAAAGGGTCCCACTCGTTCTCGTTCCCAAGGTAAATAGATTCCGCTGCTGTTGAGCTTTAACGTGGGTTCGACGCACCTTAACCTAATTTCCTCGATCGCGATGGGGGAGCGAGAGGGGCCGGGGGCGTCACGATTAAATAGACCCTCGAGGCCTTTTTTATTTCCCGTCGATTTTTGTCATCCTGTTTGCCTGCTGCGTTTATATTGCACGTCTCGAGAGAAAGAGAAGGAGAGAGAGAGAGAGACAGAGAGACAGAGAGACAGAGAGAGTGAGAGCACGAGAGGCAGATGGACTTATCGAGGGAGGGAGAGAATGAGATCGTGAGAGAGAAAGACCGAGTGGGGAGCATGGACGACCGCGGGAGAGGGAAGGAGAAAGAGAAAGAGAGAGAGAGAGAGAGAGAGAGAGAGAGAGAGAGAGAGTGGCAAGTGCACGACGCGATATAAAGAACAGCGACTCCTCTCGTTTTTTTGTCGCAATTCGCCGTTTCATCGCTCGTGACGGAGCCCATATACATAAATGTTTATGAGTTGTGAGTCACTGTTCGTAGTTCTACGTGAGTTGTCGCACTCGGTTGAGAGAGAATGTCAATACAGGTTGATGCATGTCCGGGTTTTACCTTGAAAATCCAGCGCAATGTGTAATGTGCCTTTCGTTTTAAAGTTGTTGTCACCTTACCGTTTTTGAGATTTTAGTAAGGAATCAGAATGCCAGCGCCGCCTCCGCCTCCCCCAGCACCCTCGTTCAACTTGGGTGGAGGTTCGGCGGATCAGGGCAGAGGTGCGCTATTACAATCAATCAGAGCTGGAAAATCCTTGAAGAAAACCGTGACAGTGGATAAAAGTGCTCCTGCGATCAGCGGTGAGTTTCTACAAACTGTCTCCATGTTGTAAATTTTATCCACGGTCTAGCCATTGTTGACAAATCATTCGTTATTATTGTTTCTATTAGGAAAAGTACACGGCGAATCGTCAAACGTGAAAGCATCCAATATAAATACAAAGAGCCCCGTTTCTAATTCAAACGTAGGAAATAGTATTAATAATGGCAATCCAATTTGTTTGGGTGGTCTATTTTCTGGTGGCATGCCAAAGTTGAAGTCTACCGGCATGAGAAATAATCTTACGGAGCGAGACAATGGCAATGCGCAGTCTAACATGAGCTCTTATACCTTACCGAGTGTTAAACGTGGCCCACCGCCGATTCCACCCCCTGCTGCGCAGAAACCACTGATATTTTCACCTATTGCCCAAAGTGCAGAACCCATTGTGAACCATAATATAGAAACACCAAGAAGTTCATTTGGGAAGCCAACGCTGGCACCAAAGCCACCATCTTCCACGTCTCTGCAACAGAAGCCTTCGCCACCCCCTAAAAAGCTCAATCTTACCACAGGCAATTCCGTGTCTAGGTAAGTAATATCAAATTTGTATTTCATCTAGCCATTTAAATATATTACAAGCGGTAATGGTAAAAGTGATGGTCTTCCATAGTACCCTTGTAATATACTTTTAAAATTAGTAATCACGAGCATGGAAATAATTTGCTTTGAAATATTTGTAGAGTGCAAAGCTGTATATTTAAATTGATAGTACAATTGTGTTAAATAAAAGATTATGTTATTCATAATCATTTATGTACACGTAATTGTAAATTATAAAAGTAATTGGTATAAAATGTACAATTTTTCATACTGATTTAATATTAAGGTTAAGTTTATTCGAATTGTTAAAAAGATGTAATACTATGATTTTCAAACTATTCACTGAAAATCTAATTATTATAATCTTTTCTCATTATTTTTAATTAGCTGTAACTTGAAATATCTTAAAAGCTACTAGTATAAATAATTATCAAAACTGCGAAAGCTTGACCTTATAATAATTACAATTTTTGTATGTAATTGTGGCAGTGCTTTGCACGATGTGTAAAAATAATTATAACATAATTGATAAAAGAATATAAATAAATTATCATTGTAGAGTATAATGCCTTTTTAATGAAGAAATTGTATCAAAATAAGATATTACAATGTTTTGACAGTTGCTTACAGAATAAATGCTTATTGGAAAAAAAAGTTACTTGTTCCATTATTCTTTTGTAAGATATATCAATATAAATGATTAATTCTTAAAGAAATTCAACTTTAAATGTTTATTTGAATGTATTATTTTTGTATATTATTAATTAAGAATCTGTGTTTAGTGTGTTTATAAGCACAACATAATTATAAAATAATAAAAAAGCATACAAGTCTTAAAATAAATGGAAAAATTTAACATTCATATTTCATTCCAATAAAAATAAGAATTAATAAATGTACTAAATGTACTATAATCCATGATTAAATTATAATGTAACGCATTAATAAAATAAATATAAAATAAAGAATAGAAATTAAGGAATTTTATTTTACATAAGGTATAAAAGTTTTATTTTATTAATACTTGTCGGCAGTAAAATTCTGTTTATTTATGATATTGAATTATATTGTAAGCTAATTTTGACAATCAATAATAAATAGTAATAATAATAATAATAATAATAAGAATACATACTTTTTGTAAAATTCAATGACAGAAAAATCGGAATATTTTAAAACATAATTTTCATTACAAAGAATTCTAACTTTACTAAATTATTTAGTAAATAATTTTTTAATATAAATTCTATAAACAGTTGAATATCATTGTATTCAAATGGCCATAAATAAATATATTGTTGCAAGTAAATTTTAATCAACTTCAATAAAATGTATTGCCACGAAGTTCGCTCGTGAATAAACAAATTCATAATCAAATTTATCAATCGATCGACTGTAAAAAACACATTTGTTTCTAAATACGCTAAAATGCGCTGTCAATATGCGTTTGCACCTGTCATGAAAATTCTTAGGTATCCAAAATACTTTTCTTCGCGAAGAAGCCGAGCTTTCCTTTCAGCGTAATAAAATCTCACCGATCTCACTTGACGATGATTAAGACCACAGTGACGACGACGATGAGGTGGACAATTCAGTCAAAAGACAATTTGTCCGCTTGTTCCAGGGCGCAGAGTATGCGATTAGCCCGATCGCCAGCGGTTCTAACACCGACACCGCCTTCTCTCCACCAGTCCCAG